TAAACCAGTGCTGAGTCCAATACGATCCTATGTGACGATGTTGATTCCTATAAGTCTGCCAGAGACTACCCAAGTGGGCTGCGATGAACAATGTTGAAAGTAAAGCTGAATAAAACTCCTATGGTACAAAGATGAAGACGATCCGATCCTATAAAAACAAAAGAGGCAATGTACGATGTGAGCATATGGTGTTACGTGCTAGATGCAAGTATTTAACCAATAATGACGGGGTGCAATCAAAGGTGCGACGGGTGACCGAAGATAATGCTAATGCCGGTCGATCACGGTGTAGAGCGTGTTTCTCAAAGAGAACGAAGGGTGTGCGAAGCTAAAGACGGTGTAAAACCAATCCGTTGCTTATAGCGAGCATATGGGATGCAAACAAATGTTATTGTTCATGTACTGCGCTATGCGAGAAATATGGTTGTTTAAACTGGTGCTAATGAGCATAGCAAGAGTATAGAGATGAGAATATAGCCAGTCGTGAGCAGTATAGCGAGTGCTAATAGCAAAGTAGCGGGTAGTTAGGTCTCTCTTACTTCTACGATTTTCTATGGATTTTATACTACCAAAGATATTTATTAATAGAAAGACTTAGTAAAGCTGTAAGGCTGCAGCTTTGTAACGAGTCAAATGTCCATATGAATCTCCGTAGTCAGTTGTAACAGCTAATCCTTAGCATTACTGAAGACAGGTAAATTCGCTATATCATGAGTTGTCACAGCAGGGTTATTGGGGTGCTGTTTGAACTGCGGACTGTGAGGGTACGGTGGAATTACTGAGGTGAATGAAAGGAATAACGCCTTCTAGTGAACTGGGCATGGCGATATTATCAACGCCGGTCGTTTGGATGACAAGAACTTGATGATTATTGCAGTAGGGCAATTGTTGGCAGGTATGACCTCATATAATGAAAGGATCAACACCGGTCCATTACACCGTGATGCGCTGGTGATGCGGTCCTGATGCGTCAGTGATGCGTAGTTCGCTTATCACTGGGGTTTGCCTGATCGATCAATACTGTGCCTATCCATGATGGCATACGAGTTAGGTCGCGAAACAAGTTGGGATGGATATTCTTCTTTATAGCCAGCCGTTGAAGTGTCAAAGAGGTCCTATAATAGTGCGTGCACACCGGTGTTATCGTTATAACTGGTGCTAAGTCGTTGTCACTTAGAAGTGACCAAAATCATGAATTCTGAGTGTACAGAGCCTAGAGGCTCATCACTGCATCCATGGCCCCCATGGATTTAACTGATGTCCCACTGGAGTACCATGACTTTGCCTATGTGTTCAGTGATTCCCTCTCAGAGAAACTCCCCAAGCATTGCCCTTACGACCTCAAAATCAATCTTGAAGAAGGCACTTCTCCTCCGCTCGGACCCATCTATTCCCTCTCTGAATCTGAACTGAAAGCCTTATGCGAATTTATTGACGATAATGTCTGTAATGGTTTCATTGCTCCCTTATGTTCTCCCCATGGAGCCCCAGTACTCTTCATCAAGAAGAAAACCGGTGAACTCAGGCTCTGTTAATTTCCATGGCTTGAACAAAATCACGAAAAAAGATTGCTATCCACTTCCCCTCATTTCTGATCTTCTTGACTCCACACGTTCCGTGTGTCTGTCTATATACAAAACTTGACCTCCACCACACCTACCATCTTGTCCGTATTTCCGAAGGAGACAAATGGAAAACTGCATTCCGCACCCGCTATGGTTCTTTTGAATGGCATGTCATGCCATTTGGTCTTACCAATGCTCCTGCGGCTTTCCAATGCATTGTCAATGACATCTTCACAGATATGCTTGACGTTTCCGTCGTTGTCTACCTCGACAATATCCTCATCTATTCAGACAATCCCGCAGAACACTGAAAACACATACGAGAGGTCCTACACAGACTCAGAGAGAACAATCTCTACTGCAAGGGATCCAAATGCGAATTTCATTGGGATTCCATGGAATATCTCAGCTACGTTCTCTCTCCTGAAGGCTGATGCATGGCTGAAGACAAAGTCAAAGCCATTGTCGACTGGCTGGTCTCATGGAAGGTCAAAGATATCCAATCATTTCTTGGTTTTGCTAACTTCTATCGCCGTTTTATCCATGAATACAGTGAGATTGTGTTGCCCCTAACACGTCTCACTCGCAAGGGTATTCTGTGGAAATTCGATGACAAATGCCTGGCTGCATTCAACAAGCTGAAACAGGCTTTCACTCATGCTCCTATCCTCACCCACTGGATTCCCGACCGTCAATTAGTCATGGAAACCGATGCCTCTGACTACGCTATTGCCGCCATCCTTTCTATTTACCTTGAGGATGGTGAGATTCACCCTATTTCCTTCTTGTCCTGAAGTCTCCACAGAGCTGAGCTCAACTATGATACCCATGATAAAGAACTTCTAGCCATTTTTGAAGCCTTTAAATACTGGTGTCATTACCTCGAGGGCTCCACGGAATCCATTGACGTCATTACAGATCATAAGAATCTCGAGTATTTCTCTACTACCAAGGTTCTTACTCGATGACAGGTGTGCTGGTCTGAATTCCTTTCCCAGTTCAACCTTGTTATTCAGTTCCAACCAGGTAAACTTGGTGGGAAACCAGACACACTCACTAGACAATGGGACGTCTACCCTAAAGAGGGGGATAGTCAATATGCTCAAGTCAATCCTCATAATTTCCGCCCTGTATTTACTCAAGAACAACTCTCCACTTCTCTCCACGCTACATTTCTTGAAGGTCCTGTACTCCATGCTAGTGCTATCATGGACATGGACAAGCTCCACTCTGATATCAAACAAGCACAACCCACGGATGCCGCAGCGACCAAAGGTTTCCATCTTGCTTCATCCCCTTCCAATGCTTCCCGGTGGTCTGTGGATGAGTCAGGAATACTACACCTTGACAATCGCATCTACATCCTGGATGCCGCGGACCTCCATCTTCGTGTCCTACAAAACAATCACGATCATATCTTGGCAGGTCATTTCGGTCAAAATTGGACACTCAAACTAGTCTGATGGAATTATACCTGGCCACAGATGCTTGAATTCGTTCGCCACTATGTCAAGTCTTGTACTACTTGTGGTTGTAACAAAACACCTAGACACTGTCCTTTTGGCCTACTCAAACCTTTGCCTGTACCGACACATCTGTGGGATTCTATTTCCATGGATTTCATTGAACAACTTCCAGATTCCAACAGATTCACTGCCATCCTTATCATCATTGACCATGCAAGCAAACAGGCCATTTTCATACCCACTCATGATACCATTAATTCTGTGGACCTCGCACAGCTTTTTGTTACCCATGTCTTCTCCAAACATGGTGTCCCTACTCACATCACTTCTGACCATGGCTCCAAATTTGTCTCCCAATTCACATGTGCCCTTGCTAAAGCCCTCGATATGGAACTCCACTTTACTTCTGGTTATCACCTGGAAGCCGACGGACAAACTGAATGCGCCAACCAAACCCTCGAACAATACATCTGCATCTATTGTTCTTACCAACAAGACAATTGGGATACCCTATTACCCATTGCCAAATTTGTGTACAATAATGCTCCTAATGCTTCTACCAGAATCTCTCCATTCTTTGCTAACAAAGGGTATCATCCTAACATCACTGTATACCCTGAACACGATATTGCTTCTGCTTGGGCCCATGACTTCATCATTAACCTTGACGATCTTCACCAATTCCTCTGCAATGAAATCTCCCATGCTCAGTCCCACTACAAATTCCAAGCAGATAAGCGTTGGTCCCTGGCTCCTGATTTCAAAGTAGGTGACAAGGTTTTCCTTAATTCCAAACACATCAGGACTACTTGCCCTACTGCAAAATTCTCAGAGAAATTCCTCAGACCATTTGACATCATCGCACAGCCTGGATCCCATTCCTTCACTCTCAAACTCCCTGTTGGAGTCCTCCACCAAATACTCCTCCGTTCCATCCAGGAACTTCTTCCACAGCCCCCACTCTGTCTGTCAGCCTCCAACATGGTAAAAACCCTCTCTTGCTTTGTGAAAGTTGATGCTGGCATTGATAGCATCCATCAAGGCCCCCTGTCCACGGCTTCCAATCCATAGCTCCATGTTTGCTAGCTCGAATGGGTCCACGCTGTTTAAAGTCTCCAGGTTGGCAATGCGTGAATGCCATACTTGGGCGACATCCTTGTCCAGTCGCATGGTCATCACCTGTCGGAGGGCCTTGGGATTAGCCCCTTCCAAATCTTGAAGTTCGTGTTTCGACAAAGACCACTCTTCTGTGGACACCTTCGGAACGAAGTCTTGAGGATACTCCATGTTGGCCCCTGGGTGGTAGTCATCAAGCAAGTCACCTATGCAGTCGCCGAAAGCCTCTAACTTCTTCTCCATCACATCCTTCCTTGCATGCAAACTGTGCAGCAAGTCCAATACTTCCTCCATCACCGCCGGCTCCATGTCGTCTCCAAAAATGCACTTCGTTTTCTTATGCCTGCACCTTTTGCAGGAACGCCCAGTTGCTGCAGGGAAACAAATGCCTCTGTTGGCATGGCATCAAGAGCAGCAATCTTAACAACAATTAGTTGATTCCATGGACCTGGACAAAAACTTACCTTTGCACCTGTAACCACTTGAATAGCGGGTTCCTGCTGGTTATAACCCAGTATAGAAAAGCCATTTTGACTGGATATAACCCATGGGTTATAACCAGCAGAAACCCCAAAGTCACCACCTACTACATACAGCCAATCCCTAGCCAAAAGTTTATGGGCACTGCCACATCCAGTTTTAGAAAATGATTCATTGGTGGTGCAGGTGATATTAGCTGGTATTCTCATTGCCCTGCTCACTGTAGTGGCCCAAAAAAAATAGGATATACCCTATATGGCATCCAGACCCACTGCCCATAATGACCCGGACTGACAGCGACCCAAAAAAGTTGGATTGGGTGACACAAAAATGGATTACCTTTTTTCGAGCCCAGAATTGCTTATTAAAAAGATGAATGCAGGTGGAATTGAACCAGGACCTCTTCGCTAGGTAGAACAAGGCGCAATCACCACTAGGCCATACAACCATACTATTATTGTATATTAAAGTAGATACATAGACTAAATACATTAATTTTTCAAAGAAAAAAAAAAGCCTGTTGTTGTGGGGGTTGTCGGGCAGCATGCAGGCATCAGATACCCTTGCGCATGGTGGGGTTTGGGGGGCGAGCACATCAATTGTCGAATGCGATGCTCGTTTGGTGTTGTGGGGACGGTAGCCCGCTTGTGGGGGGTGAAAATGGTGGAGATGCGGCTGCAACGGCCATTCTGCAGCGAGGGGGACGAATGGGAGCGAGTGGATGGTACTATTAAATTCACTGTTGCCGAAAACGGGAGTGGGAAGGTTTCGGGATGACGAGGAGGCCTATAGCATAGGCAGGACGACAGACAGGGCAGGATTCAGGATGGTGGGTGTGCGGTGGGTGTTGGTGGGCTCAGTAGAGAAAACGGGATCCATGGACGTGTTCCCCCACTCAAAGAATGGGGGATGCACGGACGTTGGATCTGTAGGTGTCCTGGGTGGGGCAGGGGACATTGATGTTGGGCGGGAAGGGAGTGCCAGCGGCGGGCGGGGTAGTGGGAGCATATGAATGTCGTTGGGTGCATTTTGTCCGTGCTGACGTTTCCCATTGATGCCCCAGTTATCATGGCATCTGTGGTGCCATAAAAGGTGCTACGGGTCCGAAAGGGTTCGCGTCGGGATAGTGAGCGGGCGGCGGGTGACAGCGGGATCGGTAGAGCAAACGGGCCTTGCAGTTGTGTTCCCCCACTCAAAGAGTGGGAGATTCACAGACATTGAGTCCGTATGTGTCCTGGGTGGAGTGGGGGACGGCGATGTTGGGCAGGGATGGGGATGCTAGCGGTGGGCATGGTGGTGGGGGTGTATGAGAGGTGTTGGGTGCATTCTGTCGGTTGACGGTTCCTGCATAGATGCCCAGAAGGGCTCGTTCATCGGAGTTGTCATTGGCTGTTGGTGCCCAGATGTTTGGGGGGCCTGCCTGTCCACACCCTCTCGCCCTTCCTCCCATCCTCCCGGGCCTCTCGTTCCTCCCTAAAGCATCCCAGAGTACCACCACGCACATACTCTGTCCCACTAATCCTCTACAAAGCTTGTGCTTGTCATCGTCATTGTCGTCCACTAGGTCATCGTCGTCATCGTCGTCATCTGTTGCTTGCTGGTACACTTCACATGCAGAAAAAGAGCCTAAAAAGATAAATTAGCATGAATAATACCATCACATACCTTTAATTTTGTCCTAAAAAGCACGTCGGTGGTGCGGAGGGTCGTCGTCATCGGCCAGGTGGTAGTGGAAGGCAAAGAAAGAAGCAGCACAGCCACTCGATCGCAGGTCGGTTGGTCGGTCTGCCTCGATTGAGCAGCAGAACCCATGCTTGGGATTCATCCGCTGCTCGATGCAGACTATCCGACATCCCGTTTAGTATCGGGATACTTTACTACTGATATTAATAATGTATTTACAAAATTTTATATAGTTCTGGTTACATGAGGACTATGTATAGGCAAATTAATGAAAATTCTCTCTCTCTTGTATATTTTCAAACATAGTTTACCTCTACACATTGCCATGCTTTCTCAGGCAGTTCAAGAGCTAATAGATAATCAATATAATCCATTATACTACTGAACTGACCCCTCTGATCCATGCCGATATGCCACTACATGTATTTATACCATGTAGTACTGTTGAGGGCAACTAATGTATAGCTATCACTCATCTTGGTACGACGTTCACTAGACTTTTATTAGACTTTTATTTTATATTGACGCTATGTGTTACAAAATTAAACAGTAGGTTATTACATAGTATCTTTACACTTCTGGATACTATTTTTGTACTTGAAGAGTGAACTCGACCTATACTGAACGATTTTTTCCAGTGAGTACAGTCAGCCCGAATAGCTGCTTGGTCTGGCAAAGTCTGAAAAATGTTGAAATTGTCTGTCTGTTGCGAAATTACAGACAGTATATACAATTTGACTTCTAGAATCATGGATAAAATCGGTATATTTCTGTCTGATATGTTTATATGACCCAATTACATGGAAAATCCACTGATTTCAAAAGAAGATTTTCAAAAAAATTTCTAGCTACTGGATTAGGAATGATATATTCCCACAGTAAGTACATCCTGATTCATCCTGACACATCCAGCCAAAATAGGTATGACACATGTGGGGAAGGGCTGTAGATGCAATGATATATATTTTTTCAAGTATGTTATTTTTTTTTTGAGCCCAATTGACCAATGGGAAGACTGTAAAATCATGCACACCTGAAATGAGGTGAAGGCCAATTTGGGCTGTGGCAGTGTCGCTAACATTATGTCACCGAACATTACTAACCTAGGTAGAGCCAATAACGGTTGCTCTCTGAAAACGATTATTTGGGAAGTTTTAAAGGGTAAAATTGCAAAATTTTCCCTGCAGGGCATCTCAGCCTATTTTCCAATTTTCCCAGAATTTCCCCAAAGCCATGAATTGGTGGCTGTGGCTATATCCAGTGATTTTGTCATTTGTATACTGGGATATATCCAGCTCAATTCCCCCCATTCTTATGGTTGGGCCTGACCTTTGCCAAGAAATTGAACGTCCCCCTTTCCTGGAACAGGATCCGTCTTCAGCCTTTTCATGGCAGGCTCACCCAAATCATTTTGCCCCAAAGGGCCCGTGGTGTTGTCACTATCCACCACATAGGGGGTGGACTTTGCTTTGTGCTTCTTGATTCCCGTGGCTGCCGCTGCTCGCACTTGTTCTTTCTGATGATGATCCATTAGAATTTCCTTCGCCTTCCCTTTTGAACCTTGAGGAGCCTCCACGGGTTCCTCGGCCCCAGATCCCTCCAAATCTTCATCATCCAAAGCACCAGATACAAAGTCGCTTACCTCCGCAGCTTCCATTGCTTTTCCCTTTCCTTTATCTTTTCCAACCTCTTTCTCCTTTTCCTCCTGCTCCTCCTGCTTCTCCTGCTCCACGGCCTGCGTCACCCTCAACTCTGCCAATGCCTTCTCCCTCTTAACTCTTGCCTTTTCCTGCCTTTCTTTCTCCTCCATGGCCAATTGCTTGACCTCCAACTTCTTTGCTTTGTCGGCCAACTGCTTCTTCTCTGTGGCCTCCTTCTTTGCCTTTGCTCCTACAATCTTCTTTGCCCGTTCCTCTTTCTTATGAGCCTCCTCCGCGGCCGCCACCTCCTTCCTCGCCTTAGCCACTGCTGCTTCTTGCTCAATCCTCCACTCATCGTGAGCCTCCATGGCCACACGATATGCTGCATCCCTCTCATCCCACTCAGCATACAGAACTTCTAGCGCATCAGGATCAGCGTCCTCCGGCATAGGTGGGGCAATGTACGCCTCTGGTGTTTGTGAACGACGATACAATGAAGACATGTCAGATAGCGAGGAGAAAATTTTTGACTTGAGATGGTGGTGGTTAAAGGTCAAGAGGTGTCTATCACATGACATACCTGCATGAAATTCCATGCACCACACTCAGCCATCGGGATCAGTGCTCTTGAGGGCAAGAACACTAAGGGGGGGATACTGTAACAAGCATGCCGCAGACTCCATGGCCTTCAGCCCTCAACCAACCCCACTGGCTCCAATGCACTTATTGGAATCCGACGCATTCCGTTTCCCAGTTTCTATCCCATATTTCATATCTCTATTTCACATACTAATTTCACATATTCATTTATCACACCTAGAATCCGTCAACAGTACCGAGTAGGTGTTATATCGGAGTCCATGGAATACTCGACTTTTCTAGATACAGAATATTCCAGACTTATATTATTCCAGCCATGTCCATACTTATTCTAGCCTCCATCCCTCAGACTCTGCTCTAGTATATAAACTGTACAACTAGTAGTACATACCTCAGTTCAAATATCAACTTGGTTTAGCCCAATACTCTTGCACTCACTTCCACTTGGCCTTCAAGCCTAATCTCAATCTCTTCTACAAGTCCACGGATTCCGACTTCATGTGACTTCATCTTAATCCCTACTTGTCTTACTCTGCGGACTCCATCCATATTCATCTTAGGGCTTCAACCCAGGGGTGACATTGCTAATAGCTTTGCCAAGCCCACGTGCATTCTGTGGACTCCATGGCATGCATTCCACTTCACTTCCTCCTATTGGCATGATCCTAACACTTACTAAGTCTTGCACCTATGTCAAGGACTCTTCAGAGGACAAGGCTAGCATTGCGGGGATCCCGGATGAAGACGCCATCATGGGTAATACCCCTAGCTCTGCCAGTCCAGTGGAAGCTGACTCGGTATATTGTCTCCTTTCTAGCATATATTCAACAGACTGCTGACACTGTTTTCACACATTTCCAGCATATGTCTGTTGACAATGACATTGAGGTCATCGTCAATTCTGATCCTTTGTCTGGAAACGTTGTTACCCCGGGGCTCAAGTTTCTGTGCCAAAGTCTCACAAAAACAAAGTCAGAGTGAGTAGGATTACTTCTATATTCGTTCCCACTGACTATTTCTTTAGAAGTCCTCAGCTGAGAAGCGCCCTGAGGTAACTATTCATTTCTTTTGCTATGTGTACCAGCATAGACTTATCTTTTCCTTCTTTACTAGCCTACCGAAGCTGATCTTGCTAAGGCGGCTGCTACTCTGTCTCACAAATGTCCTCATGCGAGCTATCATTATTCCTTTACAGACTCCCCTTACACTATCGCTGGTAAGATAGGGCCAGTTCGCAGAATGGGGCATCACGTGATACATCTGTGACAAATTGTGACATTAGCCTAAAAATTGTTAGAACAACATGAGTGAGGTCTTTTTGGGAAATGTAAAACCGACAGCTTCTAGCTAAATAGATTTAAAACAATCTGTCGGTTTTGGATTTTTGATATCAGGTCCCATATTCCAAGTATAACCAAATTTGTACCGATATTCACATTCTTTATGACAAGCATGGGAATCCTTGCATAAATACAAGTTGAGACTATCGGGGAGCAGCTTGCAGCATCAAGTTCCCAGATTCACA